CCCCCCCCTCCTCCTTCCTTCACCTGCACCAGAGGCGGCCGGATTTGTGCTGATGTTTGCAGATATGCTAATTGGCTCATTAATCATCACCACCCGCAGCTGTAATTGGGCTCATTTTGCATTGATTCCCGGGGCTTTGGAGAACCGCTGGCTCTTCCCTTCCAAGAGAGAATTCCGTGCAGTAAGTCCCAGCACCCCCCTTTAAATAAGGCCGTGAGACACAAAGAACCTCACGCAGGACCCGGCCATCACTTCTTGGTGCGAAGCAGCTGAGAAGAACGTGCTCAAAGAGTGGTTTTTCCTCCCAATCATGAGACACGATAAACCCAGAGAAGTCCAGACCTGACACCCAATGATAACACATTCCTCAACACCAGAAAAAGAGAAGGAGATAGAGCTTAAAGCTGATCTACTTGAAGATCCTAGAATCATAGAGTGGTTTGGGTTGGAAGGGACCTTAAAGACCATCCAGTCCCATCCAGACACCTCCCACCAGCCCAGGTTGCTCCAAGCCCCCTCCAACCTGCCCTTGAACCCCTCCAGGGATGGGGCAGCCACAGCTTCTCTGGCCAACCTGGGCCAGGCTCTCACCACCCTCACACCAAACAAGTCCTTCCTAATATCTAATCTAAATCTCCCCTCTTTCAGTGTCAAACCCTTCCCCCTCCTCCTAGGGCTCCCCTCCCTGATCCAGAGTCCCTCCCCATCTCTCCTGGAGCCCCTTGAGGGACTGGAAGGGGCTCTGAGGTCTCCCTGGAGCCTTCTCTTCTCCAGGCTGAACCCCCGCCAACTCTCTCAACCTGCTGCTTGCCCAAACCACGTCCCCATCAGCCCTTGCCCAGCCCAGGGCAGTTCCCAGCACAATCAGTCACACCACGTTCTTGAGCCCAACAGCATCCACCTGAGCCTCCAGCCACCATCGCTGGTCCCTGCAGGGACCTCCCAGCCCCTGGTGGACAGAGGACACCCTGGTGGCACCCAAAATTACCCCTTTGGGTCCCACCACCCTTTCTCGGCGGCCAGTCCTCGTGCCCAGCCCCTCGGCGAAGAAAGGAAGGAAGGGGCAAGGTTTTGGTATCTTGAAAACATTTTTATTTCATCACTATTCCGTGGTAGCATAAATAATAGGCAAGGACAGCACGTGTGAGGAGGGGGGAGCAGTGGGCACGGGGCACAACGGGGATGAGCAACTCTGGCACTGGCCGTGCTGGGCAGTTCAGCAACTCCATTTAGTGAAAATATTATAGATCAATAGATATATTTAGGTAAACTAGCAGTATTTGGTGGTGTTCCCTGTACTATAGGCCTGATCCACAGGGAAAAAAAATAATAACAAAAACCAAGGTGATTGTACACACTGTGCTGAACCCATGGGGTCCCTGCACGGCTCCAGCCCCCCCAGGCTCCATCCCTGGGGGCAGCACCCCCCAAAATCTGCCCTCGGGATGAGGACGGTGGCATCCTGCCCCCCTCCCTGTGGCACTGGCACGTGGAGGAGGAGGGTAAGTCCCTCTTTGCAAAGTCAGAGGGGAGCAAAAATTCCCTCTGGGGTTAGGAAACCCAGCCTCTTTTTGGTTTGGGTTTTTTTGTTGGGTTTTTTTTTAATTGAAAGAAGGCTATAAGTGCATAGGGAGCAGCTCCCTTCCCCGGGCTGGAGCCTTGGGGACACTCACAGGCTGCTCCTGCCAAAGCCCGGCCACCCACCCCGGCTGCCCTGGGAAGGAGCCTGGGCTGTAAATTAAATTAATTGTAAATTAAGCCCTTCTTGCACCCCGTTCCAGGTCTGCACCCCGTTCCAGTTCTGCACCCGCCATCACTTTTTTTTTTTTGCATAGGAAAAAAAAGGACTGAATAGTAATCACAGCATCACACTCTCCTGGTGGCTCCCGAAGGAGGGGATGCTGCTCCTCTACTTACTCCAAGGGCAGGGTGGGGGCCAGCAGCAGCCCCCCCCGCCGCCTCTCATGCAGTAGCTGTCGGTTATAGCGGTTTTAGTGCCGGGGACAAGAGTAGGAGGACGTATTTCCAGTTAGCGAGTGGGCTCTTGGCAGGTCACTTGACTTTCTGGCTCAATACTCTGTGTGAGTGGATACAATAAAATTAAAGAGCGAGTATAAACAGAGAAAAGTTTATTTATAAAACGTCCCTGGGAGTTTAATTATTCTTGGGGCTGTTACGGAGGTTTTTCAGCTCCAGCTGCAGCTGCCGGATCCGTATGTCCTTCTGCGAGAGCTCCTCCTTCAGCCGCCGGATCTCGTCCTGCTGTCGGAAGAACATCCGAAGGAGCTGGAAGGGAAGGAAGGAGCTGGAGGGACCTGCAGCAGCCTCTGGGTCCTCACCACGTGGCTGCTTTTTGCATCACGACTTGCTCATCCTCTCCCAGATTTAATATCTCACCCTCCGGCACGGGGATACCCTTAACGGATGGGATCTGCAAACTCAGCCCCAGCAAAACAAATTCCTCCCGGGACCAAGTGCTGATGTTTCCCCCCAGCCCCTCCGTAGGTCACTCCCGGAGAAGGATTTTAATTAGAAAATAAAATAAAATAAAAATTCAGGAGCTTAACGCCACTGCTTTGGGGTGCTTCAGAGCAAGATGCTCCAAGTCCCAGGGGAAGGTGGTGCCCAAGCACTTCGGTTTGGGAGAACAAGCAGAGGAGTGGCTTTCCAAGGTGCACCCAGAAGATGTCCTGTCCCCCCCCCTTGCCCCCAGCCAGCAACTGTCCCCTCCTGTCCCTTCCCTACCTCGTTCTCCGTCCGGGGTGGCACGTTCTCCAGCAGGTCTATGCCATTGACCACAACGCTCTTCTTCTCCCTCACCGGCGCCTTGAAGATCTTGGACGTCTTCTTGTAGCCCTCCTTCAGCGACATCAGGATGGGATCTGAGCAGGGCAGAGGATGGGAGAGGGGTCGGGGAGGGGGCTGTGGCATCCCCCTGCCCGGCTGTTTGTTGCTGGGGGGAGGATGATGAGGGGAGGCTCCTTGGGGGCTTTACCTCGGTTGACCCCGCTCAGCCATTCGTCCGGCGTGAGGGCCGGCTCCGTGCCCGGCGTCATCGGGTAAATGTCCTCCTGGTACGTTTCTGACTAAAAATATGGGGTTGGGGGGTGGGGGGAGGAGAAAATCAGCCCCCTCCATCAATCTGCTCAGGACTTTTTAATGGTGCCTTGCGAGGTGCTGGTGATGGTGGGGCTCAACCCTTTGGTGTGCAGCAAGGCGGCCACCCGGGGATGTAATAACCTGGTGTTTGCACCAGTGTCACCTGCTCCGGGCAGGGGGGTGGCTCTGGGAAATGCTGGGTGGCCACCGGCAGCAGAACTGAGGGGCTGGAGGAGGACGAGAGGCTGCAGAGCTCGGGACCAGCTCCTCCACGCAGCCCTGACCAGCACCGGGAAGGGAAACACCTAATCCAGCTCCAAGGTTTATTTTACCAGAAACAGCCCCCAAAAACGTCCCGGGGAGATGAGCCCCTTGCTGCCCATCGTGATGGACCGAGCTGATTTTGCATGAAAAGAATTTAATTGAGGCCAGGGGCAATGGAGGGATGTGTTTCCTCAAAAATACTCCCATTAAGCCTTGGGTAAGGGAGGGAAAGAAAGGCTGAGGGACTTGGGTCTTTTCAGTCTGGAGAAGAGAAGGCTGAGGGGGGATCTGATCAAGATCTCATCTGATCTGATCAAGATCCCAGGGACAGGACAAGAGGAAATGGGCACAAACTTGAATGTTAGAAGTTCCATCTAAACATGAGGAGGAACTTCTTTGCTGTGAGGGTGGCAGAGCCCTGGCAGAGGCTGCCCAGGGAGGTGGTGGAGACTCCTTCTCTGGAGACATTCAAACCCCCTGGACACATTCCTGTGGGACCTGCTCTGGGTCGGGGTTGGACTGGATGATCTTCAGAGGTCCCTCCCAACCCCATGTCATTCTGTGATTCTGTGATAAAAGCCCCCTGGAGTCCCATCTGGGGGACTGTAATGACTGGGGGGTCAAAGACTGGTGCAAAGAGACCCAGTGGTCGGACTGGTCAGCAAAGGGGTGTAAAATGGGGGCATCTCCACCAGGCTGGACCCGCTTTGGATACCCCCCGGCCACCACTCACCCCCAACAAGCCCGTCTGGGCACCCTGGGGTGCAGCGAGGGACTCACCCTCCTCGGCACGATCATGGAGATGGGTTCGATCAGCCCCTTGAGGGTGATGAGCTTGTAGAAACGAAAGACCTCGCAGGCCGACACGTCCAGCCCGTGCTTTGGCATCACCCCTGCAGAGAAGGGACAGACATGAATCCCCAGGTGCTGCAAACCCATCCAGACCCATCCACCCCCCAAGAATGGAGCACCCCCAAAAGTCCCATCAGGAGACCAGTGGAGATACTTCACTGAATTAAGCCCTGGGGCACAGACCTGGGCCACACCAGGGGGGGGTTTGAAGGGACATTGGGAAAGGGATGAGTGGCTTTTATGGAGCATAAATCACAGGAATCACTGATTGATGTCCCCTGGTAAAGCCACGGCAGGAGTGACAGCAGGAAGGGTGAACCACCACAGGAAGGACAACCCAGCAAGGGGAACGCTGCCCCATGAGCCCTGCAGCCCCTGCCCTGGTGGATCCACAGCCAGCACAGCACCCACCAGCCCCCTGCTAGACCCATTTAAACCCACGACATTTAATTAAACACCTTCCATCACCTTGGGAGCGAAGGGGCAGCCACCACCTGTCCTTACCCAGTCCTTTCTGCGGGGCCGGGGAGCGAAACTCCATGAGATAACTCAGGTAGGGCTTCTCGGAGCCGATCTCGTAGTACCGGATGTTGCCATCACCCTGGAGAGAGGTCGGGGGAGAGGGATGGGTTAGTGCTTTGGCAAAGCCCAGGCTGAACAAAGACCATGAGGACAACCCTTAACACGCAATCGGCAAGAAGAGGTGGGAACAAAAAATTAAAACAATGAAAATGAATAGGAAATTTGACGCATTTCCACCTCCCACCTCAGCCTTCAGGTTACAAACCAAGGGGAGAGGGATGGGTTAGTGCTTTGGCAAACCCCAGGCTGAACGAAGACCATGAGAACAACCCTTAACATGCAATCGGCAAGGAGAGATGGGAACAAAAAATTAAAACGGTGAAAATGAATAGGAAATCTGATGCATTTCCACCTCCCACCTCAGCCTCCAGGTTACAAACCGGTGGCATCTTGGGGGGCATCAGGTGACCAGCAGGTGGAGGGAGGTCATCCTGCCCCTCTGCTCTGCCCTGGGGAGGCCCCATCTGGAGCACTGGGACCAGTTCTGGGCTCCCCAGTTCCAGAAGGACAGGGAACTGCTGGAGAGGGGACAGCAGAGGCTACAAAGATGCTGAGGGGCCTGGAGCATCTCTCTTATGAGGAGAGGCTGAGGGACTTGGGGCTTTTGAGTCTGGAGAAGAGAAGGCTGAGGGGGGATCTGATCAACACCTATAAATACGTAAAGGGTGGGTGTCAGGAGGATGTCCCCCCCCCAGGAGATGCTGTGGGGCCAGTACCTTGCCAGCCAGGTAGAGCATGTGCGTGTCGGCATCGTAGAAAGGGAAGAGGAGACCCGAGAGCCCATCGATCTCCTCCTCTATCAGGGGCATGGACAGGTCCTCCTGCATGACAGCACAAAAAAATCAAAAAGCGCTTTATTAAGGAAGAAATCCCCATGCTGGTCCTGCTGGGGATGGACTGGGGGGGTCCTGGCACCCACCTGGTCCCAGAGGGCGATCTGCCGTGTGTTCCAGCGTGACACCCCCGTGGTCAGCAGCCTCTTCGTGCTGCCCAGGAAGACCACCCGGTTGACGCGGTGGTTCTTGCAGCTGGCCTCCTGCAAGACAAGAGTGTGCTTGAGGACAGTGTCCCCCCCTCCTCACAGCCCCCAGATATGTCCCTTGCCCTCAGGAAAGCCCCTTCCTTGAAAGGCACCATGACCTGCCACCCCGCCAGCACCTCTCCCACCTCGTCCTGGTGGACTCATAGAATAAATCATAGAATGGTTTGGGTGGGAAGGGAGCTCAAAGATCATCTACTTCCAACCTGCCCTGGGCAGGGACACCTCCCACCAGCCCAGGTTGCTCCAAGCCCCCTCCAACCTGCCCTTGAACCCCTCCAGGGATGGGGCAGCCACAGCTTCTCTGGCCAACCTGGGCCAGGCTCTCACCACCCTCACACCAAACAAGTTCTTCCCCACAGCTCAGCTCCATCTCCCCTCTTGCAGGGTCAAACCCTTCCCCCTCCTCCTAGGGCTCCCCTCCCTGACCACGAGTCCCTCTGTCCCAGCAGACAGTGTGGACATACCCTGACTCAGCCCCTGTCCCCTCTGCAAAACGAAAATGCCCATTTCCCTGAACATCAGACATCGCTTTTACTGAGAAACCACCACCTTTCCCCAAAGTGTAGCTCTTCCTGCAGCCTTCTCCCCCTCTCCCCTAATTTCTACTATTTCCCATAAATCCTTAATTAATAAAAGGATAAAAGCCTCCCACTTTGGTGCCTGGGATGAAGCTGAGGAGCACCTCCCTCACCCCCATCATCTCCACTTAATTAAAACATCCACCCCCTCCCCACAACTGGGAACTAATTGCAGACCTGCAGACCCTGGCACAGGCAGAACGTCAAACCGTGGGTTTTATAGTAGGATTTCTCCCCCAAATCTGATTTCCATCCCCTCCGCACACAGCAACGCAGCCCCCCAGCCCCAGCCCCAGCATCCCACCTGCAGGACCCTGCCGGAGCGCGGCTCCACCACCCGCAGCTTCTTGTCCTTGCAGGTGGTGGCCAAGAGGCTGCCGTCGGTGTTGAAGGACATGCAGAGGATGACGTCCGTGTGGCAGTCGATCATCTTCACCGGCTCCCCGATGTCCAGGTTCCAGATGAGGACCTGCGGGAAGCAGGGGGAGACATGGCCACTCCTGGAGACCATCCCACCAACCCCTCCTGCAACCTCCACATCTGCTTGGGTTGCCTTAATATCTCCTATTTGGGCTGAAATCACCTCTTAGTCACCTATAGAGCCTCCTTCCCTCTTCCCAGGACTGCCCTCCAGCTGCTGCTTGGGCACAATTAAAATAATTTTATTTTTTTATCATTATTAATTTTTTATTATTTTGATTTTATATATTTTATAGTAAATATTTACGTATTTAATTTTTTTAAAAAATTATAGCTAGATAAATATCTAAAAAGAGAAATAATATAAAATATAAATAAATTTTAAAAAATAAAAATTAAATTTTTTTAAATTTTATAGCTAGATAAATATATTAAAAATATATACGATATAAATAATTTTTAAAAAATAAAAATATTTTCTTTTAAAAAAAGACCCTTGCCCGAGGGAAGGTACCGTCTGCTGCAGACACGGTGGCTCATTTTACTCCAGAGGGTGGGATCCTGCCCTGGCTGGATGATGGTGACTCCCTCCCATGCTGGGAGCAGGGAAAGCCCACCTTATAGTCGTAGCCGGCACTGAAGAGGATGTTGTTGGTGGTGGGGTGCCACTCCACGAGGCCAACGCGCCGGCTGTGCCCGTAGAGCTCCAGGACGGCCTCGGTCATGTTCCTCTTCAGGCCGCCCTCGGGGATCTCCCAGATCCGCACCTACGGGATGGGGCAGGCGTTGGGGGGGTTATTGGGAGCCCTGGGGGGACCCCAACACCTGCCCAGGGGGGTTCTGAGCCAGTGGCCTCATCCTGCACCCTAATGGACATCCTGGGAGTGTTGAGCCTGGAGAAGAGAAGGCTCTGGGAAGACCTCAGAGCCCCTTCCAGTCCCTCAAGGGGCTCCAGGAGAGATGGGGAGGGACTCTGGATCAGGGATCATAATTTGCAATACTGCCCTGAAAAACCTGGAGGAGGATGTAAGGGTGAAGAGGGGATTTTTTTTTTCTGCCCGAACATGCAGGTTTAGGGGTGGAAGCCCCAAATCTGTGGGGTGGCACAGGGAGCAGGAGGGGGACAGCATGGGGAGAGGGACATCTTTGGCTGGGAGGGAGGATTCTGAGAGCATCAGCAGTTTTTAAACAGGGCACCAGGAGAGGAACGAGCTGCTCCCCCCCCACGGCCGGGTGTCAGAGGAACCGGTTACGAAAGCAGCGGGTTACGAAACGGCTGTTACCAAACCCGGGGCTGCTCCTGGCCCCGGGGCCATCTGTGTCCCCCCAGGGCTCCCCGAGCAAGCCCTGTGCCCCAGAGGTGCTCATCACCCCCCCGGGGCAGGGGGGAGAGGGGGGGCTGGATACACAGGGAAAAAAACCTAAAGGATGGGTTTGAACCATGTCCTGCATCCCCGCAGCGCAGCATCACCTCTGCTCATCACCCGGCTCCTAGAGGGGTTGCATCATTCCTCACGTCTTGCAAAAAATAATAATAATTAAAAAAAAGGGTGCGAGTGCCAGGGACGGGCTATTTTAGGCAGGTTTCCCCATTACACGGTCACTGTGACCTGAAAATAGATGTGCCGGAACCGGTTGCAGTCCTAATGCCGTTCTGCTGCCAGTATAGGCAGAGCTGGAGCTGACCCAAAAACCCAGGCACTGGCTTTCACAGCCTGGTCCCATCTTGGGCTGGAAATGCTGCTTTTGGAAAATTATCATTAAAAAAAAACAAACCCAAAACCCCAAAGGAACAGCCCTAGAAACACCTCTCTCCACCCTCCAGCCAAGACACCAGGGGGAGCAGCCGGGGTAGGCCGCAGCCTGCGGGGCCAGGGACTTCCCCTCCCAACCCAGCCTAAGAAGTCTTCCAGATAATATTTTCCCTGGAATACACTTTTTCCCAAAGAGATGTGTCCTGCAAAAGCCACCGTGCTGTAAGACACCCCCTCTCCATCTCGCTCTGCATCCCACACCAGCTCCCCGTGCCCGAGCACACGGAGAGCCCCAGCGTGGGGAAAATGCAGAGCCTTAAACACCTTCAGAGCCCAAATAATCCCCCTTTTTTAATCTTCCCACTCATTTTGTCCTGCCCTTTCAAAAGCTTCTTCCCAAAAAGCCTCCGCAGCATTCCCACAGCATGGCAGCGGGGACCGGGAGCTCGAGGACCAGCTAATTGTCCTGTGGGGACAAATAATGAATTAACATCCCTGGTGTCCCACGGGGAAGCATCAGGAAAGGACAGATGGCTTTATCCAGGTACGGATGGAGACAGCTTCGTTAGCGAGGGAGTAATTACAGGAGGGGTTTCAAGCAGAGTGATAACCTGGGTGGGCATCCGACCGCAGCCATTAATTCCGGCTGCTGCCGAGCTGTAAAATCCTGGTTGCCCTCCCCCGGAGAGGACTAGCCCATAGCCATGCCCTGGGGACAAGGCTGCACAGGTTGTCCCCCGGGTGTAGGACACAACAGGGGAAAGACATGGCTCTGGAGCAGGAGACCAGCAGCTGCATCCCCATGGTCACAGTCCAGTGGTGTCCCCAGCCTGGGACCCATGGTGACCCCGCGGCTGCTGCCGAGCTGTAAAATCCTGGTTGCCCTCCCCCGGAGAGGACTAGCCCATAGCCATGCCCTGGGGACAAGGCTGCACAGGTTGTCCCCCGGGTGTAGGACACAACAGGGGAAAGACATGGCTCTGGAGCAGGAGACCAGCAGCTGCATCCCCATGGTCACAGTCCAGTGGTGTCCCCAGCCTGGGACCCATGGTGACCCCGGGTGACAAATATCATGCAAATACTCTGTTTTCTGCAACTCAGACTCCACAAGGACCTGAGTGCCCTCTCTCTTTGATAAAGACTGTTGGCCTGGACCTCATTAAACCTCCTGAGAGCGAACCTCCTGCACCTGCAAAGGTGCAGGACCTGCCCATAAGCATCATCCAAGGTGTGGGGTGGAACCAGGAGCCACGACCCCACCCAGCTGTGGGGCTGCTCCCCTCCAACTCATCCCCACTGGAGGGAAGCCCCCTACACCAAACAGCCTCCAGGGCAATTAACCGAATTTCCCAGGTTTAACGATGGTTCATGAAGTCTTCTAAGCATCCCCCCTCCCAGCACCTCCTGTTCCCTGGTGACTGCACAGAAAAGGTTATAATTTGAGGTGGGAAACAGCTCACCATGACTCATGGCTGCCATCGGAATTTTTTTTTCCCCACCCCACTCAATATCTTCCTTGACGAGCTTTCAGCTAATAAAAAAAATGCCAATATACTGAGCTGAAGGAGACGGTGAGACATTTGGTGAGAGCAGAGTGAGACGCTGAGGATCAGGTGAGGTGGGTTTGTGACCAGTTAGAAACTGGATCCCCCCAAAACCCACCCCATGCAGAACAGGTGATGGTTTCTGAGTTTCTCCCTTCTACAAATGCTTCTTTTCCTGCATGATACAGCCTTTGGGATGGACTTGTTTGTGTCCAGAAAATAAAAAGGAGCAGGATGCAAATAACAGCTATGTAAAGATGACCTGATTCGTTACCACCCCCCCAGCCTGGAAAACTGCCTTCTGCTCATATCACCTGGTGGATCAGGTCACAAGAGCGGTCCCAGCCCCTGCGGCCCCTGATAGCAAGAAGGATTAATAATAGCATTGCTGTTGGGCTTGGGCGGGGGAAAAAAAAAATATAAAAAAATAAATAAAAGACCTTGTTGTGCACAGCTGTAGGGATCAGGTCACAAGAGCGGTCCCAGCCCCTGCGGCCCCTGATAGCAAGAAGGATTAATAATAGTATTGCTGTTGGGCTTGGACTGGAGAAAAAAAAATATATATAAAAAAATAAATTAAAAAAAGACCTTGTTGTGCCCAGCTGTACGGCTTATCTGCAGCGGGGGATGCAGAAAGAGCAGTGCTGTGACAATAAGTGACACTGGGGACACTGCACCAACGACACAGGAGCCGGAGATGGGCACAATTCACCTATTTCTCTGCATCAATCTCTTCCTCCCTCTCCATCCCTGCGACTGCTGACCCGTCGCCCACCCACAGCCCCTTCCTGACCCCCCCCAGGGTGTATAAAGGAAAGGGAGGAGGGTGTCCGGAGCTCCACGACTCCTGGGGGTGCCAGCCCAAAGCCTCCCAGCTCACCGAGGTGTCTTCGGAGCATGACGCGATGATGTTCTCAATGAAAGGATTCCACTTGATGTCCAGCACGTTGCCCTGGTGACCACAGACTTTGGGGTAGTTTGGTTCGATCCGGCCTGTCTGTAGTTTAAAATAAATATTTTTAAAAAAAAGATAAATAAGAAATTTAGTGATAAAATCGGTCTTTTTAAGGCTGGAGCCCTGTGAAGGGAGTGAGCTCTGTAGCTTGTTCTAGGTTTTTGGCTGGAGGAGATGCTCAGTTTGATTTCACCCTGGTCATATTCCCAGGGGTGGCTGCAGCTGATACCTGTAGGAGAAGGGGCTTCTGCAAACACAACCCCGTGGGGCTGCTCCACCGAGCACCATCCCAGCCCCAGTGCAGTAGGAGACCTTTGCCCAACCCTCTGAAACCACAGGCCAAAGGGCTGGAAGGGACTTGGGAGGCACCAAATCGATCCCCAGGTCTCGAGGCTGATCAGCCATTGGGTGATGAATGAATCCTAGAATCACAGAATGGTTTAGGTGGGAAGGGACCTTAAAGACCATCCAGTCCCATCCAGACACCTCCCACCAGCCCAGGTTGCTCCAAGTCCCCTCCAACCTGCCCTTGAACCCCTCCAGGGATGGGGCAGCCACAGCTTCTCTGGCCAACCTGGGCCAGGCTCTCACCACCCTCCCACCAAACAAGTTCTTCCCCACATCTCAGCTCCATCTCCCCTCTTGCAGGGTCAAACCCTTCCCCCTCCTCCTGGGGCTCCCCTCCCTGATCCAGAGTCCCTCCCCATCTCTCCTGGAGCCCCTTGAGGGACTGGAAGGGGCTCTGAGGTCTCCCTGGAGCTTTCTCTTCTCCAGGCTGAATGAAGGATTTGGTACTTTCCTCCCAAACTTTGGAAGTGACACCAAGCAAGCTACGCATGTGTACTTCACAGGACAGATCCCCAGCCAATCTGGGATCATCAACACTCTTGCTGAATGATGCAGTAATAACCCAACTGTTACACCACTCGATGGGATCCTCCCATGCAGATGAAAATCCTTGCAGGACTTTTAGGGGCTGGTCCAGTCATAGAATCATAGAATCGTCTAGGTTGGAAGGGACCTTAAAGATCATCTAGTCCAACCACCAACCTAACTCTGACAAAAAAATAAATAAGAAATAAGTAATAAAAAAAATCACTAAACCATATTCTTGAGGACCATGTCAACCCGTTTTTTGAACACCTCCAGGGATGGTGCCTCAACCACCTCCCTGGGCAGCCCATTCCAATGCTGGATAACCCTTTCCATGAAGAAATCTTTCCTAATATCCAATCTAAACCTCCCCTGGCGCAACTTGAGGTGTTTCCCCTTGTCCTATCTCCTGTGACTTGGGAGACGAGACCGACCCCCACTTCTCTACACCCTCCTTTCAGGTAGTTATAGAGCACGAGAAGGTCTCCCCTCAGCCTCCTCTTCTTCAGACTCAACACCCCCAGCTCCCTCAGCCTCTCCTCAT